GGAATGAAGTAATGTGATTCGATTGTCATTACGTTTGGAATCAATGAGAGTGTAGATGTTCTTCGCTAGCAAAATATTACAGCAGTGGTAATATTTTTTGTTCCTTTTATTCTTTATTATCTTTATTACCGTTGTTGCTTCTATTTTCGTTAAAATTTTGTCGACATTATGATAAACATTACTAATAATAGCAGTGCGAGAAGTAGTTGTAGCGGTAGCAATAGTAGAAATATCATTACTGTCATCATTGCGGATATTACCATCGTCATTATTGCCATTGTTCATACAACTGTAGCAGAAAATATTGTTCATGGCCGTGACCAATTATTGCATCGCTATGGTGGCGGTATTAGTCCAATACGAAATCCCAGCAAATTGTGTGTTAAGTGGAGAGCAAATGCGCAAGTGGACCTATGTGGAAAAACATGAGCGAAGAAAGGCGCAAACCAATCTGAAATCCACTATCCGTTCTGGAGCAGACCACGGGAAGGTCCTTATAAGGGCGACAGTGATCATATCAACAATAATCATATTCGGAATGATTATGATAATACATACAATGATACCATTGATCACTAGAGAAATAACGGCCGTAGAAACATTAAAAGTGTTGATAATAATGACAATGTCGAAAATTAACAACTGGACAGCAAAAAATCAAAATGGTGACATGATACTGAAAACTGCCTGTGAAACAATCAAATTTAAAATACGAAATAACTTTAAAGATCAACTAAACTTTCCCCAAACAGAAATGAACTGCAGAGGAAAATCTAAATCTAAAAGGGAATGAAAATTAAAAGTGCATTTGTTATTGAAAATTAAATTTATCGTTTCATTTATGAAAGGATACTTAAAAGTTTAACCGTGAAATGGAAATGCCCTATGAATCTAAAACGAGCGGAAGTTATGCAAAATATGATGAAGAGTTATGAGGGGAAATTCAGAGAGAAGTTTGGTTTGGAAATTAGACGTAAAGACAGTTTTGATTTAAAGTAAAAAAAAAAAAAAAAAAAAAAAAAAAAAAAAAAAAAAATCAAGTAAAATTCTGAGACACTCTTCCCTCCTCATCCTGCCTCATACCTTCCATGCCCTTCCTGTCATACCTTCCAGGCCTCCTTCCCTTGCTGCTTTCCCTCTCTTCCTTTCCTTCCCTCCCTCTCTCTCTTCCTAAGCTCCCTCTCTCTTTTTTCTATTTCCTCCTTCCCTATCTCTCTTTCCCTCCCTCCTTTCCTTACCTCACTCTTACTTCGCTCTCTCCTTTCCGTTCTTCTCTCCCTTCATTCCCTCCTTCTTTTCTTCATTCCCCCCCCCCTCCCCTCTCTCTCTCTCTTTCCTCCCCCTACCTCCTTCTCTCTCTGTTTATATTCCTTCCCTCTCCTCTCTCCTCTATCTCCTTCCTCCCTTCTTCCTCTCCTCTATCCTCCCCCTCCCTCCCCTCTCCCTTTTCCCACCCCTTCCTCTTTCCTTTCCTCTTCCCCTTCTCTCCTTCTCTCCCTTCCCGTCCCTCGTTCTTCCTTCTCCCTTCTCCTCCTTCCCTCCCTCCCGCCTTCTCCCTCCCTCCCGCCTCTCCCCCCCTCTCTCCCTTCCTTCCCTCCTCCCGCCTCTCTCTCCTTCCCTTCCCTCCCCCTCCCCCCTCTCTCCTTCCTTCCCTCCCTCCCTCCCTCCTCGCCCTCTCCCTCCTTCCTTCCCTCCCCCCCGCCCTCTCTCCCTTCCTTCCTCCCTCCCTCTCTCCGCCCCTCTCTCCTTCCTTCCTCCCTCCTCTGCTCTCCTCATCGAGTGACCCGCTCACGACAATATCTGTGGAGTCATCCCAGGCAGCTCTGGTCGTCTCTGCCTCGCTTCTCTATCCCAGCTACCTTACTCCAGCAGCAATAAATTTCAAGATTAGCGAGAACCTTAACTCTCCCCCTTAAGAACCAATCCAGAACCTTAGTGCTCAGCCACGTTACAAGCAGAGGGAGGCGTCCTCCACACATCATCACAGTGGTGTCGGTGAAGTGGACAATGTACCCGACCATTATATTGGCAGACCAAGTGGGAAATACTCCCTACTTTATTACACAGCATCTCACCTTCCGGCCACGAAGTTGTATCCCTGGCAGCAGTGCCTTCGGAAGCAGTCCACCCACTTGTCTTTGACCTGGCACTTGTAGCGGGTTGTGATGACGTTGGCACTCGGGCACTCCAGAGTATCTGACCTGAGGAAAGACAGCAGTGTGACCTGACATCATGGACACTTTGGGTTTCATATAGGGTTATAAGTTTTTTTTTCACCATCGTCACATAAAGAAAAACTGTTCCTTTATCATTTTAAAGTTTTGAAAAATACACCTCTGTTGCCTTGGCGGGCATGATAGTTTTTTCTTTATTTTTAGAGACGTATTTACATAATTTGCTTATTATTTATTTTTTATTCCTTTCCCCCTTTCCCTCTCCTTAATTTGTTTTGTTGTTTTTAATCACTTCAGTTCTTATTTCCTCATTGTATTTTTCCTCT